GTTGTCTGCAAATGCCTGGTTTGTGACCTGCTGGGGCAAGCAGCATCAAAGGTTACGGATGTATAGTGTGAACAGGAGGGGGCTGAGGACGGATCCTTGCGGCACCCCTCGACTGCATGCGACGTATTCCGAGCAATTTTTGCCCATAACTACGCGTTGAAGCCGCTCACTCAGGTAACTAGTGCACCATAGCTTGACAGTACCGCCGACCCCAATGTCGGATAGCTCCTGTGCCAAGATGGTGTGTTTGACACAGTCGAAAGCCTTCGACCTATCCACGAATATCACACCTGTGAGTTTGCGCTCATACTTCGCTTTCAGCCAGCGATTGACAGCTAGCACAAGAGCGTCCTCCGTACTGTGGTTCTTCCTGTACGCGAACTGCGAGTCAAGGAGAATACTGTGATCGGTCAGAAAGGATGTAAGCTGAGCTTTGACGATCTTCTCGAGGAGGCGAGAAACGACTGGTAGTAGAGAAATAGGTCGATACGCAGTAGGCTGACAAGGGTCAAGGCCGCACCCTTTGAATAGCGGCGACACATTAGCAATTTTAAACTGATGGGGAACACACCCCTGACATAGCGAAGTATTGAAAATCATGGTGAGCGAGGGAGCCAGTATTGATGCCGAGTTTCTAAGGACAATCATCATGTCCAGTCGCTTTGGACGCGTCAACGGACTGGAGAAGGGCCGTAATGTCCTCCGTAGAAGTGCTGGTAGTCTGCATGGTAAAGGGTTCTTAGGTCATGCAGATAGTGTGTTCAATGAAAAGCAGGGTAGAGATCATTGCAGTACATTATTGTATGCTCAAACTCGTCTTCTTCAAAGTTCTTTCTCAACAACTGATACAGTACATGTAGCAGAAGATGCGAGTGAATCAGCCTTTATCAGGTATCCTGGGGCGGACGAGATAGTGACGGGCAGTCCGCAAAACTCCGCGTACATGTACATTTATGCATGTTACGAAGTCACTGATTTTAGCACCCATGACCAGATGACTGCGCAGGCTATGGAAATTGCTCTAATATTTAAAAAAATTGAGGTATAATTGATGTTAAGTCACGATGGAAGGAGAGGTGGAGCTACGGGAGAGATGAGCTGATTGTTCGGAGGGTGAGGGTGACATCGGTTGCACGAGTATGACCGTCGGATTACGAAGACGGTTCAGTGAACATGATAATTTTCAAAGGTAACTCAAACTAATTATCTTTTTAGCAATGAAAAAATCTTTTTACAAAAGTGGTAAACAAATGAATAGAAGAAGTACATGTAATGTTTTCTCTTTTCCATGTTGATCTCTAGCATGCATGGGCACCTTGGTATGGGGATACTCATGTAACATTTTGTTGTACTCATGCTGGGGCACTTGCAAGTACGAAAAGGCACAATTTTCCGAACTTTAATGCGAGAATCCATGAAAGCATAATTCCATGATTTCGTGAGCATAATCCGCCGGACCCTACCTGTCATCCCCTGTCAATCGTTGTATCCATGAAGCTATGCTTATTCGTGATAGGCGTCCGTCTGTGAATAGAGACTGTGGCTGGAGGCTTCTGGACAAGGTGTGAAACTGTTATTTGTATGATTGTACAGTGTATGTACAATGTACATGTACATGGTATCATGCAGGAATACCTTGTGATACTTATTTGGCATTGTTTAGGTGTTATTTATCACTGCTGATCCTTTTAATATAGTAGTTTGTGTGGCAATTTGTTAATTATTACAACGATGGTTCCTGATGAGCGATTTGCGAAACCTTGTTCGATGCATTTTTATATTTTTCATCTTTCCTATTATTGTTCTTCACGTTACATTTCCATCAAAATTAATTCTTTGCCCATCACCACTTTCTCTAGAATTTGTTTGTGAAATCTCAATAAACCCTGCTGTCCCTGACATCCAGTTTGGAGGTTGTTGTGAAACCACAAGTTCTCGAGAGTGAAAGGCCTTCTCGCTTGTGACATTGTGTTCGTTTCAATGCAATTGTATCCTGACTCCGCCGTACCGCTGATGATTACGACGTAGTATACGCTACATGGGATTTCGGTCTTTGACCACTTGGTGGTGGGTCTGATCTACTCACCTCCCGCCGTTTAGGCGCTGCATCTGCGCCTTTGATCCTAGAGGGTGGTGGCCTTCCCACGGCGGATGCGGAAACTCGGCTTCCAGCCGAGTCTCACGCGAACCGTAAAAAAAAAAATAATAATTATACGCTACATGCGCTATGTGCGGTTTGCTGTGTGCGCTGTGTGCGCTGTAGTTGTATGTTGCATGTGTATGCTTTTCTCATATACGCTGTCATTTTCACGCTATAACTACCTGGTGGTTTTAGTGTTAGTTATTCATTCTTTCATTGTTCATTATTATTAGTGGATGGAAGTGAAATATACTGTGAGAGAAATAGTTGTCCTCGTGCCGTGTGGTCGTTCGTTCCTGACACTTTAGAGAACCAGAGGGTTCACAACATTTGGCGACCACGCCAGGATACGAAGCGAGCATGGCACAGGAACTATGGATCATTGAAGCCAGCTTTATCGCTAGCGGAATTCGGTATGGATTTGAAGGCGATAGGTTGAGAGAATACGTGGAGAAGGGGCTCCGACAGAGCGAGGAGTTTGAAGAGCGCAGTGCTAGACGGCAAGAGGGTGCGCTCCGCACAGAGTTTGATGGAAAGCTCAAGAAGATGAACGAGCGCATCGCCAGCAGTAAATATGAGGGAGCGGAGCGAGATTTGCTTGCCTCACGCGAAAGGACGCCGGACAAGGCGTGGTAGACTTTGCTTACAGACAAGCAGCGGTCAGAGGAGTATTCGAAGCCAAGGCCCACTGCGTCGGTGCAGTGCATGGCGACATCGTTCGGAGACGCTCAGAAGCAGCTGGAGTCTCAGCCGAGCGACGTAGAGGTGCAAGATGTAGAGGCGCAAGACGTAGAGGCTCAAGACGTAGAGGCTCAAGACGTAGAAGCGCATGACGTAGAAGCGCAAGACGTAGAAGCGCAAGACGTAGAAGCGCAAGACGTAGAAGCGCAAGACGTAGAAGCGCAAGACGTAGAAGTGCAAGACTTAGAAGCGCAAGGCGTAGAAGCTGAGGAAATGAGAAGGGCGATACATAGCATTTTCGCCGATATATTCATTACACTGACGGTATCCCAACTCCTCAATTACCAGATTTTTGTATGCCTCGATCTATTTCCTTAGCCTATCCTCGATTAACTGCTCCCTCTTCATAAAGTTTTCATTTCATTCTTCTTGCAGGAGATCCCCTCGACAGGCCCAAAGCCTTTGGGAAATCCTTAAATATAATAAAATACAAAATACAATACTGGTTAGCACGGAAGAAGTAAGCGGCGAGACTGTGTGGAACACAGAGATCCGATTTGTGTCCTCAAGTTCCGCGCCCGCCCTGGGTCGAAGCATTGTACCTGTGACCTTGTCGTGTGTGACAGCCCACATCTGCGAGCTTGGTGAATCGGTTGTGTGTTGTCTGGTCCAGCGTCCGCCCCATGTCGAAGTGGATCGGTGACAGTGTCGTGTGCGACAGCCCACAGCGGCAAGCTTCGCGAAATCGAGTTGGCCGAAGTTGTGGGCATTAGTGATATTCTACCATGGCCACCACCGCAGCAGCAGATGACGCGTAGTAAGCCCCAAATCGTTTGACTTGTGAGTTGAAGTTAGTCGATGGAAAAGAAATATACTGTTGAGAATAAAAGAATAAATAGTTGTCCTCGTGCCGTGTGGGGTCATTCGTTCCTGACACTTTAGAGAACCAGAGGGTTCACAACATTTGGCGACCACGCCAGGATCCTGGCGTGGTCGCCAAATGTTGTGAACCCTCTAAGATTCTCTAAATTGTCAGGATCGTACGACCACACGGTACGAGGACAACTCTATTCCTTTACACAGTATATTTCACTTCATCGAATAATTAACAATGAACAGTAATAACACCAGCTATTTATAGCGTGCAAAACAGCGTACATGCAAAACATACGCATATAAAACGGGACATAACAGCGTATACAGTAAAAACGCACACAGCGCATATAGCGTATGCCATGCAGCAACATCAGCGGTACGGCGGAGTCGAAATACAACATTGCAACGAATACAATGCCATAAGCGCGAAGGCCTTTCCCACTTGAGAACTGGTGGTTTGCAGCAAGCTGATTCTGTTTATTGCCATCCTATAATGTAAACAGGTAAATTTTAATTTTATTCGCAGTGAACAGACCGTTTTGGAGTTTTGCAGAGAAATGAAGTTCGCTAAATGTGTAAGTGGCTGCGTTGGAGTTTCCAAACAATTAGAAAAGCATCGTACATCCTATTATAATAATATTACCGGAGGGTGTACCTAGTGTGCTTACAGTGCTCAACACCGCGGAGGCAGAGGGTAATACAGAACCGAACAACAAGGACAATCAAGGCTTGCTTGCTGCGACTTCAAGTTTCATGCTCTCGCAATCATCAGGCAATAGCATGATTGCGAGAGCATGAAACTTGAAGTCGCAGCAAACAAGCCCTGATTGTCCTTGTTGTAATATGTTTATTATAAATACATGCATAATACAATGGATTCAAGCGTCGAGCTGATATAGTGGATGATTGTCTCTGAACAGGCATAATGGAGCAATGGCTGCATAACATAGCAGTAATACTCCAATCTCAGGATTACTTGTGACATGTTACCCATCTACGAAAACCTACACAACATGCACAAGGCTGTGTAACCCCAGCAGTTTTTCGGCGCTTGCTGCTGGTGAATTTCTGGCACCTTAAAAGAGGGTATTTTCTGGGGTTCGCTGAGTGAATCGAGCAAGATCAGGTCTGCTCCACAGTCTGTACCACTTTCCAAGATATAAGCATTTTCTTGACGGCAGATTGCTTTATTAAAAGCAATCGGCCGTCAGGAAAATGCTTATATATTCGTAAAATCATTTTGATGACTATAGTGATGATCATGTTCATAGTTGAAATTCTCGATTTCGTTTTCCTTTTACAGCAAACTCAGAAAACACCCTTCTTGGTAAATATCAAATTTACAGAAATGGTAAGTTCAGTGTGCAAGTCTGTCGTTATTTTCATTGTGCTTTGCTGGACTGCCTCCGCAAGATTACTACACCATATTTCGAAGGAAGATGTCTTCTAGCCACTTATTCAGACTGTAATGCCCTGGTGTTGTGTGTGAACTCCTCCTCAGAAGTAGCACTCACACACACACACACACACACACACACACACACACACACACACACACAAACACATACACACAAGCACACATGCACACGAACACGCACGCACACACACACACACACACACACACACACACGTGACACACACACACACACACACACACACACACACTGCACGAGATGTGTCGCATCAGTAGCTGACCCGGTACATACCCTCATGTTCGCGGACGGCATCATGCTGTTCGTGAGCCACGCTAGCGCTCACACCATCAACACTCCCTTTCCACAGCAGTGTCGCTTGTCGCTTGGCTATTCCATACCAAAGGGCTTATCCTCGACACCGGAAAGAACGCAAGTGCTTCCAATCAAAGCTGGACGCCAGGCACAAATATCACCGCCTTTGTTGCCTTGCTCATTTCAACGGCAGTTGATGTCAGCTCTGATTCTTTCGTTGCCAAGTAGAGCGTACGTATATGACCAAGGGGCACTAAAAAAAGGTGATCTTGAATTCAAATCTTTGAGTCCTAGAATCATGGAATTCATTACAGTGCAGTCCTGTAGTTCTGAAAAGGTCTCGTGGAAAGCAAGAATACAGCCAGCCTTGGTGCCTACTGCTACCCCAAGCCCAAGCACACTCGAGTTTGAACTTTGTTTTGTTGATGCATGGAGGAGACTTGCTGCGTAGAAGGCAAAGTGAACGTTTGGAGTACATTCGTATCCCTCGTGGACAAGCCGAACATTGTCATGCTCCAAAGAGAGAAGAGGGCTTCCAGAGGATCTGAATCATTTAAAATGATGAAAGAAAAAGCAACGATAACGCCCAAACCAATTCCCCAAATCTACTCTGCCGCCGCCGCCGGGCAACTCCACGAAATACACGCACTGGTACCTGTAGAGAGGGAGTAGTACACTACACACTGTACGATGCTTGGTATTGTAGTGCTCATTGCCTGTAGATGCCTTGGCTGCGTCAACGCTGCTAGCGGAAGCATCTCTATCTGCGTCATTTCACTGGTCACGTGAGAGGTTTATCTACCTCTTACGCAAACTTTACTGTTTACAGGATGTACAATCTTCCAAATCATGCATTTCTTGTACATATATTTAGCGTTGAAATCAATAGCGCCGTGTATTGTTGGCGCTGAGACGAGCAATGCGGCATTTCATCGGCGCTCATTCAACAAAGGCTATATTCTCTTGGCTCTATGATGCCTGGGCTAGTGAACAACGACAATGGCGACGACGACGACGACGACAACACCGACTACAACGACAACAACAAATCTCACGTTATTGGCGATGGTTCCATCGTGAAAATTCAACACCAAAAAAAAAGGAGGATAGGTTATCCGATGATTCACAATGGCACAAACAAATAATTCACTTCGCTTTATGCAGCTTAGATGGGGAAGAAATTATCGAGTATGTACTCTTTCTTCAGATGATGAATGCGGGGGGGGGGGGGGGTGGTGGAAGGGAGAGGAGGAGGAGGAGGAGGAGGAGGAGGAGGGGAACAGTATTCGCCAGTAAGGGCCACAGGTGTGTGTGTGTGTGTGTATGTGTGTGTGTGTGTGTGTGTGTGTGTGTGTGTGTGTGTGTGTGTGTGTGTGTGTGTGTGTGTGTGTGTGTGTGTGTGTGTGTGTGCAGGATGGGGGGTTCATGTGTGTGTGTGCGTGATGGGGGGTTCATGTGTGTGTGTGCGGGATGGGGGGTTCATGTGTGTGCGGGATGGGGGGGGGGGGGGGATGAGTGAGAGCTCAAGCTCTTCAGGCACCAGACATCTTTATATTTTTTATTGAGTGGGAGCTCAAGCTCTGCAGGCACCAGACATCTTTCTATTTTTTCTGTTTATTGTGCAGGGCAGCCGTTCGAGTTTTATCTCCGTTCGCCATCACTTACAGGCACCACCGACCGCTCTCAGGACACCGTCCGTAAGTTGTATCAACGAGTTAATTTTAAAACAACATTACATTTATAGAAAACAGAAAGGAAAAAAGGAACTACAAGTTACGCTATAATGTCCACTAACACCACCAGTTACTAAACAATCAGCTCATGCGATAACATTGCACGACACTGACCGACGGTACTGACGTTCTGCAACAAACTGGCTATCAGCTCAAGCACGCCGTGTACACGTAGTCCCTTGGTTCTTTTTCTTTTCTATAGATTTATCCTTGGCTCTCCACCCGAGAGTATTACAGATTTATTCAACGACTACAAGATATGCTGTAATTTCCACTAACACCACCAGTTACTTTACAATCAGCTCCTGCCAAAACTTTGCCCAACACAGTTTTTGTGCCCTGTTATCGCACTTTCTGATTGCTTATTATCTTGTTACAGTCGTGGATAGTTGCTTCATAACTGGTCTCCATGTGATTTCTTCTATTTTAATAACACTGGGTGAATTTATGTATGTGGTTGGTGTCAGAGCACAATGGTACTGGTGAGTACCAACTCAGAATCTTTGAGTTTTTGTGACTTCGGTGGAGGTGGATAAGACATTAGCCTACGGTACATCTTGCAAATCAGGCTTGTATTCAAAAGAGGTTTCCATGCGAGGCATGCGTTCACAGAATACACTGAAGTACACTGCTACAGGGGTTAAGTGTGTGTGTGTGTGTGTGTGTGTGTGTGTGTGTGTGTGTGTGTGTGTGTGTGTGCGTGTGTGTGTGTATTCACATCCAGTTGTGTGGATTAGACAGTTACCTGGCGCTTGTCTTGATCTGTTTCAATCAGAATCAGATCCGCTATCGTTGCTATAAAGAGAAAATCTGTGGGTGCACATCCAGTGCATTTGCAGATTTGCGTGCTTCTCATGTGACGGGCGTATACATGGTACATGGTGTGTGTGTGTGTGTGTGTGTGTGTGTGTGTGTGTGTGTGTGTGTGTGTGTGTGTGTGTGTGTGTGTTGTTTGACCTGACCAATGCTCCTGACTTATTTTGTACTTCTGAATTGCTAATAGTATGCCTCACCTACACATTCGAGAATGGAACATTTGCGCATGCACAATATGGCGACACCGTTCCAGCAACATGTCCCGCTGGATACGAACGCACAGCTTTCGCATTCGCGAAGTGTACCTTCAGGAACGGCATTTACGGCTGGTCTAACGTCAACTCTATCCCTCTGGACAAGATGTGCGCCAGTAAGTATGGTCTACTGATCATTGGTGTGGTATTGTTGTTGCCAGTATTTACAAGATTGAAATTTCAGCGACCAGGGATTTCGTGTAAGACAAGAGCAGACAGATGACTCAAGCTACTTTCGATTGTTTTTTCACGGTTCGCGTCAGACTCGGCTAGGGTCCATACCGAAAATCCCATTCTCTGATTCTTCTGCTTCTAGGCAGGACTTAAACCTGGCACCCGCTGTTTCTCAAGCATGGCCTTAGACCATCCCACTACACCTGCCTACATCAAAGAGAAAATACACCAGTGTGCGGACTAGCGCCAAACAAGTGGGGGGGGGGGGGCAATGGCTTTTGTCCCTATCCCCAGAAGATGTCCCAGTGACAGTGTCTAAAAATGAAGGCAGTTCCTGGAGTTTTGTTTGCAATGGGAGGCTGTAAGGTGAAGATAGCAAACAAGTGGATGGCTAATGAACAGAATAGTTCACACGCCCCTGCATACATGTACAAATACATGTAATGGGGGATGATTTTTTCCTATACAGTACCCAATAATACACGGAGCATGTGGGCAAAGCGGCTGCCAACACTGGCGGTTGCCCCTTTCCAATGACTGACTTGACACTTGACTGACTCACGACTGCCATCCAGTGCACACTTCCATTGAACCTTCGACTTGGCAAACCTGCAAGAAACCACCTGTGCTTGCTCGATAGACAGTATTTTTCGGCAATTCAAACTTCTGGGTAAGCCTTAAAAATTCCCTAAAATTTTCAAAACATATGTATGAAACCTGCAGAAAGCCTCACTCCTCTTGCTCGCTTCTAAAGACCTAGGACATGTCCACATCATAGGATAAGGCCTGACACCGGGTCAACTGTCTGGCTCCTCGACGGCTGTGGCATTATTTTCCGAAACCTCCACCACAGTAATGAACCCACCGAACAGGCTCTTCAATGTGATCAATTTTCGAATTTCATTCACCTTCCTGCATTTTCTTGACAGCCAATTGCTTTTATTCCCGTAGCCATGCAGAACGTCAGTACTTCAGTAACGTCTGGCGCTAGCCAGGGTCCACACAGCTTTAATTTGGTGTTTGTTTGTTTGTTTGTTTGTTTGTGTCACGCCTGGAGCTATCCCGTATCTGTCCCGTATATATCCCGTATCTGTCCCGTATCTGTGACTACAAATGCTCTACAGAATTGTACATAACAGCTGGCCACAATATTTGCTGGCTCCCGTATCCGTCCCTTACCGTACCAATATTGGTCGTATCATGTACAGTCAGACCTCGCTTAACCGCACACATCCGTTTTCCACAAAAATATCCGGATAGGCGAGGGAACCGGATAATCGAACACACACACTGTATGTATGCATGGCATATGCTGTAAATCCGTAACCAGTGATTTTCTTCCGGATGGCGAGGTATCCGGATAAAAGAGGACCGGATAAGCGAGGTCTGACTGTATTGGACTCCCTGATGTAGAGGGAGATTTGGAAAGAAAAAGGGAGACGAGGAGGAAAATAAATTAGAATAGACGCCGAATAGGTGATAGGATGCGTCAGCAAAAACATACTTTTGAAGAGCGATCCCGTCGTCTCCAGAAAAAGGTGTTAAAGGGGAAGTGCATCGATTTTTCAAGTAGGGCTCAGATGAAAGACAACTGGATATCGGTTCCGATGGTATATCTCTCGCTTGCGTACGGCAAGGGAAACTTGCCATATCGCCGATTTCCTGATCCCGTTTCCATGGCGACTACAGCTGATGACGCACATTCTGCTTAGCTCCGTGAGAGAGAAGGTCGATCACTGAAGAATTGTGTCATTTTCAGTTGTCTTCTTGTATTCACGAAGTGAAAGAAGTACTGTGTTCAAGGCTGTTAGTGCCGTGAACTGTTTATTAGTAGTCCTCTCCGTTGTGGAGTGGGACGTGACACCGACAGGGGAATGCTGGAGTGCGGAGACGTTAGCTGGCAAGCGAAAATCGTGACGAACCAAGTGCTGAAATCTTGGTTGGGACAAATCAAACGTTCAGCATTTACCTCAACCAAGGACCATGCCGTTTGCTCTTTCCACTTCCTGAAGATGGATGCGCTGCCTGCTGGAGACTCTCCTATCTCTCGTAACATCTTCTGAAGCCAGGTGAGACGACGAGTAGCGGAGATTAGCGAACGAAATAATGTCGTATGTTTTGAAATTTTTGCTGAACATTTCTCCGGAGAGATGGCATGTATGAACTTAGTCCGTGTGAACTCAATCAGCCCATGAACTAACCCATGAACCAATGCTTTCCTTGCAAACGTGCATGTGTCTATCCAATCGACACGTAGAGATCATTCCATGCCCTCAGTGAATGGCCTATTTTTATATTATTTGTCCATACACATCATCTGCATGTTGTCTCTATGGAGAAGGGTATTGTTCATTTCAAATGAAGAAGTTCGGGCAATAGATGCTTTCCTATGGTACAATTCTGTTGACCTGATGTTCTTTCTAGCTTCATGGGTAGCTTAGGTGAGGTACCATCACCATCATGTTTACATGAGGGTCAAACACTGCACCGTTCTTTGTTGTGACATGACGTAAGTTATTGTAAGTGCTCGCAGACTCCATACGTTCCAGCAACTCCTAGCATGGTTTTTCGTGAACGTTGTGAGTGAACAAATTCCTGTCCATCATATTTATACAGACATGCCAGCACACAAACTGCACCATACACACACTTGCCCTGTCGAGTCACTGCCACGTGGGCCTGGAGAGAGATTGGGAGAACGCCGCCCCATGACACAAAAACAAGAGTTTGTCTACGTAGGGAGCAACACACATACATATACATACACCACACACACACACGCACACACACACACACACACACACACACACACACACAAAATGAGAGTTCGGGTCATCTGTCACGAGACTGACGTACGGCCGGGGAAAGCTTCAGCAGCGGTGTCTATTCCTGCCCTGGACCGAACGGAAGCAGCGGTCGCAGGACACACAGTATTCACCACAACACGGCTCCACTGTCGTTGGGGGCTGAGCCACACACTTGTGACGAGCAAGAACACCACAGCTAAGAAAGCAACGGCCACAGCGATCACACTGGCATGCTCCACGCTGCTCCTGCACACACACACACTCTCTCTCTCTCTCTCTCTCTCTCTCTCTCTCACACACACACACACACACACACACACACACACACACACACGTGCGCACATACTGCAAGAAAGAAAGAGAGCATGAGTGTCAGATTCTTGCATAGGAAGTGTTTATCAGCACACACTTATACATGCACATGCAGGCACTCAACGACCAACTATGCACCATGCCGTATGTTCGTCAAACATAAGATTGCAATACAAAAGAACAACATAAAAAGATCACTTACTTCGTTCTCCTCCAAGTGTGTCCTCCCCAGCCAGGCCATCTCCTGCATTTCCCTAGGCGGAATGTAGCCTACGAAATGGTTTCTCTAGACTTGGAGAAGATGCTTGGTATTCGCCATCCCTCCTGAGAAATGTTCAGCAAAAATTTCAAAACATACGACATTATTTCGTTCGCTAATCTCCGCTACTCGTCGTCTCACCTGGCTTCAGAAGATGTTACGAGAGATAGGAGAGTCTCCAGCAGGCAGCGCATCCATCTTCAGGAAGTGGAAAGAGCAAACGGCATGGTCCTTGGTTGAGGTAAATGCTGAACGTTTGATTTGTCCCAACCAAGATTTCAGCACTTGGTTCGTCACGATTTTCGCTTGCCAGCTAACGTCTCCGCACTCCAGCTTTCCCCTGTCGGTGTCACGTCCCACTCCACAACGGAGAGGACTACTAATAAACAGTTCACGGCACTAACAGCCTTGAACACAGTACTTCTTTCACTTCGTGAATACAAGAAGACAACTGAAAATGACACAATTCTTCAATGATCGACCTTCTCTCTCACGAAGCTAAGCAGAATGTGCGTCATCAGCTGTAGTCGCCATGGAAACGGGATCGGGAAATCGGCGATATGGCAAGTTTCCCTTGCCGTAAGCAAGCGAGAGATATACCATCGGAACCGATATCCAATTGTCTTTCATCTGAGCCCTACTTGAAAAATCGATGCACTTCCCCTTTAACGAGCGATTCAGCGCTAGTCACAGGAAACGTCGGAAGAGAGATCCCGTCGACTCCAGAACGCCCGTGATCAGCAGAGTCTGCGCCGGTCCCAGGAAACGTCATGACAGACATCTCATCGAGTCCAGAACGCCCGTGATCGGCAGAGTCAGCGCCGGTCCCAGGAAACGTGAGGACAGACATCCCGTCGAGTCCAGAACGCCCGTCATCGGCAGAGTCAGCGCCGGTCCCAGGAAACGTCAGGACAGACATCCCGACGACGCGCAGAAAAACTAAATCTGCAGCCTCTTTTGCCGTCGGACAGGATACATATTGTAGGAGACTGTAAAGTTATGTAATGTGCTCCACAGGCAACCATGCATTCGGCGTCCTCATTGTCTCAACAGGTCAATGTATTACTACAAAAGGCCAGAAAATCCGATTACTGTATTAAAATCAACTAATTTTCGCTGGCGATTTCATTTCACTGATTTCGCCGCTTGGTACCAACCGGCCAAAGTAAATCGCAGGCCAAAGTTTGTCATAGAGGCAAATGATGCATGATTGAGCAATGGATGCATGTGAGAGCAAAACATGCCGATCGATTTCTTTTTGAAAACTACAATCGGCCAAAGTTTAATGACGGCGAAACGTTTCGTTTCTCATCGGCCAAAGTTTCTCATCGGCCAAAATTGATTGATTTACAGTATAAGGAGATAAAAAGAAAAGAAGCAAACCAAAAGTAGATGATATTAGGGAAATAACAATCCGCAATAAATTCTGCAAATAGTTTTGCCTAACTCATATTCAAACTGATTGAAACGTTTTTGCAATACAATAGGGAGGTTTCGCTCTACGTAATTACGTATATAAATCCGTATGTCGTACACGCTGGGGAGCGAGGGCAACTTTCATACGTAAATCTCTCTACGGATTTCCGTAGGAAAGCTGTTTCCTACGTTAGGTTCTATAGATCCTCCGTAGGACTTTTTGAAGTATTTTTTCGCATTTTCCGCATTTGTCCATGGCAACGTTCAAGCCGCGCGAAACACAAGGTACACACACCGTACAACACGTGCAAAATATAAAGGGAAACGTGGTTTCGGTTCATGGTGCATGCGGCGGGCGCATGCAGCCAACGCGTCTCCAAAGCAACAACGCATGTTTAGCAGTCGTGGAGAAATCACGTAGAGCGAAACCCAACAGCTCTGATTTTTACGTATGAAAATTCCGTGCAGTTCCTACGTTATTTTCATACGCAATTCCGTAGAGCGAAACCTCCCTATTGATGTGGCCAATCAACGGAAAAAAAACATATCCTTCTGTTCTAATAACATGTACGATCAGCTAGGCAAAAAGGTATAAAAGCATAGCGTAGGGCCCTGAGCTTTCAAGCTCTCTCGTTATGGTATTGACTACAATGCTTATCATCTTCATAGTGGAGATTCTAAATTTTCGCTCTTTGTTTCTTTTACAGAGAACACCCTTCTTGGAACATATACCGTAGGTGCACCAGCAGGTGAGTGAAGTGTACAAGTCTGTCCTTCTTCCAGCCCTGCGTAGTTGCATGAGGTAGATTCTCCACACGCTAGCAGAGTGTCCGTCTATTCATTGTACGGTACTCTGCTTCATTCTAATCTCTAATGGCTTCGGCTAGATTACTGCACTATAATTATTCATAATGGAAATTCCCTCTAGCCACTCATTCAGACTATAATGCCCTGCTGTACTGTGTGAACTCCTCCTCAGAAGTAGCATTGACACTGCTTCCATGTCCTAATACAGTGAACCTGTGATTAACGACCACCCCTTGGGGCCAGAGAAAGCGGTCTTTAATGGCAGCTGGTCCTTAGTTAGAGGTTTGCACCGCCCAACCATGTATGAGTGTGAGGTCGTCCGTGAATGGCGAAGAAAGTGGTCTTTAGTACCAGGCTGGTCGCTAGTCACGGTGGTCTTTAGTACCAGTCTTTTTTTCTTTTTTTTACTATTGACACAGCCCTACTGGAAAACAGGTGGAGAACAAAAAGAAACGAGGAAAAGGACAAAACATAGGGGATGTAGGGACGACGTGCTGATGTGCTGGGAGCAACTCAACCGACCAGAGGTCTCGGCGTCAGCGTTGCAACTAGGTATCGAAAAATGGGTGTGGGCTCACTCTGGGGGGGGGGGGGGTGCACAAGAACAACTGCAAAACAAACAGAAGCTAGATAATACCACAAAAATAATAACTTGGTGCGAAATAATGAGAAGAAAATAATGAGAAGAAAATAATGACGCCCAAAAGCGCTAAATACGAAATTAAGAAAAAGTAAAAATCATAAACCACATAGCGCTAAAGCTGCACCAAATAATAATTTAAATTATAACTAAACCGAGTGGAAAACCAAGAAATCATAACAAACAAAACAAACTAATAATAAAAGGTAAATGAAGCCCAATATCATCAGCATAGCCGAACCAAGGAACATGACCCGTGCCACAGTCAAGAGTTCATCTGTAGAAGTCGGTAGCCATCAGCCAGTGTTGGTGCGTAAGGTACTTACCGGTATGGACATCCTCTTTGAACGTGTGGAGCCGTTTCAAGGTGAGTGGAGCCCTTACAATTTCGCTTGGCAAGCTGTTCCATACCGAGAAAACGGGAAGGAGCGAGAAGCATAGGCAGGTGCTCTCCTGTCCAGGACTTGTTGCAGCTGCACATGGTGCTGCTGGTCAGGGTTTACTCCGGGTGCGCCGAGCTTCTATATGGTTGGCTCGAGGGGGATCATGGCGGTGAGCTGGGGTGGTCCTGGGATGCACTGGAGCTTGTACAGGTATACCAGCCCAGATACAATTCGGCGGTGGCACAGGCTTTGGAGAAGGGCACCAGGGCCAATAATGGCCATTGCACGTTTCTGCACACGGTCGAGTCAGGCGAGGTGGCTGGATGCAGCTCCCATCCACACAAGGGGAGCATACTCAAGGATAGGTCGCACAAATCCCTTGTACGCACAAAGCCGGCCATGGTAATGTAACACATGGCAAGCCCGACGGAGAACACCCAGTCTCTGGCAGCCACGTGTCGCAATCGAGTGCAAATGATCCCGGAATGACAGCTTGGCGTCAAATGTCACTCCAAGAAGCTTGATGGTGTTGGCTTCCGGAACCGCGATACCTCCAAACTGGATGTCAGGGACAGCAGGGTGTGTGGCTTTCGTAGTCATCAGTAGCTGTTGCGATTTAGAGGGCTCGAATCTGATGCGCCAGCATTCTCCCCACTCTTCAAGACGCTTGTGGCTGGATTGCAAGGCGGCAGTCATGTCATTCATATTGTCCTGCGTGCGGATGAGGCTGTAGAGGGTTGTGTCGTCTGCAAAGGAACTTAGTCGTGTCTCCGGAGATAGGCACTGACCCAGGTCAGACACATACAAGAAGAAAAGTGTCGGGCCAAGGATACTGCCTTGGGGCACACCTGCTGTTATGGGCGCCGGGGAGGATGAGTCGCCGTGGACCAGGACTGATAGTGTGCGGTTCAGGAGGTAATCCTGCAGCCAGTGCAGCAGGCAGCCACCAATGCCAAAGTTCTTGGCTTTGAAAATAAGTCCAGAGTGTGATACCCGATCAAATGCTCCTGCTATGTCCACCGCCACCATTTGAGCGTACCCTCCATCGCTGACAGTCCTGACCCACTCAGTGTGCAAAGCAGTGAGGATGTCGCACGTGCCTCTTCCTTGCCAAAAGCCATATTGACTGTCGGGCAGAATATTGAAACGCTCCAGATAGTTCACGAGCTGCTTGTTTACTATACTCTCCATTACTTTTGACAGGATGGATAGTAGTGAGATTGGCCGGTGGTTCTTGGGATCCGAGCGGGGGCTCTTCTTGAAGACTGGAACCACATGGGCCAGCTTCCATTTGGTAGGCTGAATACCGTGGCGAAAGTAGAGTGAGAACAGTTCGGTGACTGGCTCTGCAAGCTCACTGGAACACTGAGCTAGGACTCTTGCTGGAATATTGTCAGGTCCTGTTGCCTTCGATGTATTCAGCTTGGCTAGACGGCGGCTACATCAGCAAGCCGGAAATGGATGTTGTCAAGACCATGGCGGTCCAAATGCTGCATTTCTGGCAGTTCGTCTGGAGGTATGTCATCATCTACAAGGCTGCACTTCTGGGAGTAGTACCTGGCGAGGCAATTGGCCTTGGCTTGGCGAGTTGGATACTCTGTGCCGTCGGTGTCCTTCAGAAGAGGTATCTCAGAGGCACGTTCCATCCCAGCAGCTCTCTTCATGTTGGACCACCATTGCTTGTCGCTAAGTGAGCCTGCGCTGTGCTCAGCTTTGACACGAGCATCATGACTTGTGATGACTGGGCGCGCAGCAAAATAACAGCTGTACGGGCCACTAGGTCAATGAATGAAGCTCGCAAATCTCCATCATCGGGGTGCTGACGCCACCGTTTCCACGCACGAGTCTTTGCTTGAACTACAGTGCTGCACTCAGGTGTCCACCAACAAGGGTCTGTCGTCCGTACTGTCAGGGTCTTAGATGGTAAAAACGTGCCCATTCCATCCAGAATTCCAGTTGGGAGTTGGTCACTTGCAAGTTCGGGGTCATCGCAGACGACAGCAGCCCAGTCAAAGCTGCGGAAATGTGCCCTCAGTCTGCCCTCAGTCTGCCCCAGTCTGCTTGGCCATAACGCTATACTTTCCTGCTTGTTGGCCGCTCCAGTACAGGAGTGATTTCCTGAAAGTTGGACAATACTACACAGTGGTCCGAGCGCCCGATGGGAGATGATACTGCTGTGTGGACAGTGCCAGGAAAGTCGGACAAGACGAGATCCAATGTGTTTGGCCCACGGGTTGGCTGGGTCACGTGCTGGACAAGACAGTGTGTTGCACTGATTTCTTCCAAGAACTCCCCTGCGATTGTCGTTCGAGAGCTGCCAAGCCAGGACGTGCTGTGAACATTAAAATCTCCAGCCAGAATCATGTGCTTTAATACCATGCTGCCGCATGGTATCTATGTTTTGGTCTAAGTGCTCGAGTAGAGCCAGATCATTGTCAGCGCAGGAACCAGGGCGATAGGCTGCACCTATGAAAGTTTTGCTGTTGAAATGGCCAACGGTGAGCCAGGCTGTTTCGAATTCAGCAGACTGGTACTGATCCAGATGCTGGTACGCGATGCCGGCTTTGATCCAGACTCCAATGCCACCTCCGTGTTCTGTTCGGTCTCGGCGAATCGGACCACAGTATTCCGGGATCATAGATGCACTGTGAGAGCATTTATCCACTGTTAGTTTCGTCTCAGTAACTATTGCAAAAAACGGCCGCTGCTGAGAGCAACAGGGCGTGCTGAAACTCTCCGAACTTGGACAGCAGCCCGCCTGCATTGGTCAGGAGGAGCTTCATGATTGCTGGCATGTCTGCATTCAGTTGTTGTTGCTCGGCAGACTCTTGCTGCTGGTGGTTTTCGTCCAGTTTCTTGATCAGTGGGCTGCCGGAGTCAGGTGAATCCCCATGCCGCCGCTTGCGGACCTGGGCGTAATGGTAGATGGGCAGCTCTCCTGGGAGCCTCATGTCAATCACACAACAATCCAGCAGGTGCGGAAGTCAGTAGGTGCGCTGTGGCGGAGCCGCCGAAGCCTCACCCTGGCGTCTTTTTTTTTTTACGAGAAACCACAAACCTCGAGAACAGAATACTCCATGATAGAGGTGGTTGCAGACGCAACTGTGGTGGTGAAACTGGAGCATCTCCGCCGACCTGAGATCTCGGCTTCAGCGACACTTCAGTGCACCAAAAACTGGGGAGGAGTAGGCACAGGGTGAGGGGAGGGGGGTACATTTATATAGAGGGGCCTTCACCTGCGTCTTTGTCAAAGTTACTGGTGACCGCACTTGGCGAGCAGCACATCACCTCGTTCGAGTACCATTTTGGCCCGGTCCTGCGGGTCGAGCGACCATGCAGTTCATCGGCGCAGTCCTGTGGAACCAGCTCCCGTCTGATTTCCGTTCCGAGCCCAGCCACCTTCAGTTCTGTACCCTGCTAAAAGCGCATCATGGCTCCGTTTAAATGCTTTTCGGCTAGTGTTGTTTTTTTTGCTTTTTTTTTTTTTTTAATCACATTGCACATACCTACGGAAGAAGGGGGAGACAAAACGAAGACGAAACAAAAAAGTGTGTAGGCGCTACATGAGCTGCGCTGGCGAGATGCAGTGGACTCCCCCGACCAAGGGTCTCGGGATCGGCGTACACAGCAAGCACCATGGGAGAGGGGGGCGAGAGGAATGGCGGAGAGAGAGAGAGAGAGAGAGAGAGAGAGAGAGAGAGAGAGAGAGAGAGAGAGAGAGAGAGAGAGAGAGAGAGAGAGAGAGAGTAAGAGAGAGAGAGGGAGCGAGAGGGAGAGAGTAAGAGAGAGAGAGAGAGAGTGAGAGAGAGACAGAGAGAGAGAGACAGAGACAGAGAGAGAGAGAGAGGGAGAGGAAGAGAGAGAGAGAGAGAGAGAGAGTAAGAGAGAGAGAGAGAGAGAGAGAGAGAGAGAGAGAGAG